GCCTGTATTTTAGGGCTAGTATTTTACCGATTCGAGTAAAAATGAAATACTCTAATTGAAGTTTATTCTAATGGCAATGAAAAAATAGAGATTGTATAGAGACACGACTACCACTAATATAAAGCGAGTATATAATTTTCCCATGGGGCATTTATCTTCTAAATCTTGGTCTTTGTTAGCTGCAGGTACGTCTAGTATGTGTACACCCACTCATACAAACACATAAACGAACAACCATTAAGTACGGTTCGTTTTTCCCAGCCACATCTCCCACCGAAAGAGAAAAGTTTGGCTATACGCCACTGCTTGCCATCCATGAGGACAATATTGTCACACAATAAATAATGTCTAATTAGCGCAAGCGTAAACGCGAATCGCTGGTTGTAATCCGTGAACTGAGAACTATACAGGGTGTTTCAAGAAATGTACCCAATATTATTTCAAAATTACAGAACGCTGGCATTGGCGTGCTACCTGCAGTGTTCTCTTTACCGTAGCAGAAGCCATCTTCAGATGTGTAAAGCGTTAATTATGTCACTAATTATAGGAAGTAAAACAATTAACTTTTCAACCAGTGGAAGTAGCCGGTCGAGTTAAATGGGCCAATTCAAGGCCTTGCTTCGAATAGCACATAGCCACTTTGAAATGTTTGAAAGGTGGCACTGGTATCATCACGGAGCGATGAAATCTGGCTAATTGAGCAGGCGAAACCGAAGCCCAAAAAAAGCGCATCTGCCATTCGCTTGAAAAACACCCTCAGTGACGACACTGTTCCTCTCTCATTGAGCGAGGAAGATAAGCGAGCATCGATAAGCGGCCACGAAGCGAAGCGTCTAGATTGACATAGCGCATCTATTATTTACTTCGAAATGCCCTCAATGACGACAAAGTTTCCCTCGCCGTAATCAACTGTCAAGGTGTCAAAAACAGTGGCAGCTCCACGCATACTATATTTTGGTTCCTTGCCCCCGTCAGGGCAATCGAGGGGGTTCCTTTTAACCTCAACGAGTCGGCTCACGAGGCTGCGCGTGGCTTTACCAGCCACGCTACCCTCGGTCAGATTACTTTCCCCCCGGACACAAGCACTGACTGGACACTGTTCAAGGCATCTGTCAAGTCTGGCTGTGAGCACACGACTGATCCATCCGAGGTAGAAAACATCATTGCTTCTTCACTGCGTGACACAACCAAACAGGTTAACCTACCGATGCAGAGGTCAGCAGTTGACTCCCAATACGAGGCCCTTCGTGCAATCCGTCGCCGTGCCGAACGCCGATACAGACGAACGAAGTCGCCTTCAGACCTTTCCGCCTGTCGTCGAGCTCAACATGTTCTTCGGCATCTTGACAAGATTGACAGGCAACGTTGGAGAAATTTCTGTGGATCTCTGGACCCCAGGCAACTTCTATCTAAGATCTGGCGGGTGGTACGAAGTTTGCAGACAACTCCCAACAACATCAACCATTTCAAGCTGTTGCTCTACATCAGGGACGGACAGAAGTTGAGATAGCCAGTGACTACTGTAGCCTCATCGTGCACACCACTGATGATCTTGCCACTAATGAGCTTCTTACTACCATTGCGCCTCCATCGTCTGACGAGCGCCTTGATGTACGTTTTACAATACATGAACTTGACGCTGCGATTTCTGCCTCCCGCCGATCATCGGCACCAGGACCTGACGGAATCACGTATGCTGCACTCAACCATCTTGATACAGAAGCACGACGTATCCTGTTATCTCATTATAACACCTCATGGGAGTCAGGAGAAGTCCCAGCTAACTGGAAATGCAGTCGCATTATTGCATTGCTCAAGCCGGGGAAGTGTCCTTATGCACTTTCCTCCTACAGACCAATCGCGTTAGCCAGCTGCGTCGGAAAAGTGATGGAAAGAATGGTACTGGCACGATTAGAGTGGCTTCTAGAGAGCAACAACTCCTTTCCTGCATTTATGAACGGCTTCAGAAGAGGCCGATCTGCCATTGATGGTGTAGTCGACTTGATCACCAGCGTTGAAGAGGAAAGAAGCCGACGCAGACTAGTGGCGGCGGTCTTCTTAGACATTAAGGGTGCCTACGATAATGTGCTGCATTATGCGATCCTTGACGCACTGGAAGATTTAGACATCGGTGAACGGCTGTACGCTTGAATTTTTAGCTACCTTAGGGACCACACCATTTACATGACGACAAGTAACGGAGACACCGATCGATATAAGGTTCATCGTGGTGTTCCCCAAGGAGGAGTTCTCAGCCCGATCCTATTCAATGTCACAATGATCGGTCTAGCAGCAGAACTTCCCAGCACGGTGAAGATCACTGCATACGCTGATGACATATGCATATGGGCATCCGGAACTACTCGTCCGCAATTGCGAGCTCGACTACAGCGTGCAGTGACGATCACATACAAATATCTACGACGTCAGGGGCTCACTCTTTCAATCGACAAATGCGCAGTGCTTGCGTTCACGCGCAAGCATATGTCGCAATACCCGATATTTATTAATGGGACAGCGATACCTGCTGTAACGCACCACAAGTTCCTTGGAGTTGTCGTACACAGAGATCTATCGTGGACGAGGCATGTCGCCGTACTTGAATCTTAAGTGAAGAGCTTTGCTCTCATTCTTCGCCACGTAGCGGGAGCAAGATGGGGCCCATCAGAATCATCGCTACTTCAAATATACAATGCTCTATTTGTGGGATACATTCGATACAGCATGCTGGTGCTTTCCAATATGAGACCTAGTTGTGTGAAGACACTCGAGAGTGTTCAAGCTCAATGCTTACGAAGATGCTTGGGTCTACCACGCTGCACTTCAACAAATGGGACAATCGCAGAGGCTCGGGCTTGTCCCATCAGTGTATACATGCTCTGCGAGCCACTTAGAGTTCACCTACGATTACTGAGCAGACACAGACAGCACCCGCTGTCAGTACTACCCGCCACTCACCCAAATTGCAGTTTCTCAAAAGTAATATTGCGGTATGAAAATATTATACCATCAAGGTTTTCTCCGCCAAATGCCCCAGCAGTGCCACCATGGGTTCTGCCTAAACCACCTATCTCTTTTACGATACCTGGAATTACGAAGAAGTCGCTCATTTCTTCTGTTGGCCTCAGACAACTCACCCTATGTCACATTTATACAACGTACAGTGATTCTCTGCACGTGTACACCGACGGATCCACCGCGCTAAACACCTCCGCCGCAGCCTTTGTCATCCCAGACATGGATATCGCTCGACGATTCAAAGTGGACCATAAAACCACATAAACTGCCGCAGAGCTTGTCGCTATCCGAGAGGCAATAAGGTTTATTTCCGGAGAGCGACCTCGAGCCTGGACGATTTTCTGTGATGCCAAACCCGCTTTGCAAACCATTAATTGCATCATGAAGCAAGGTCCATATTACAGCTTGGCAATAGAAATCACAGAACTTATTCAGGTTGCTTCAACAAATGGCCATCTAATGACTTTCCAGTGGATTCCCGCTCATTGCGGCGTGATGGGAAACGAAGAGGCAGACGCTCAAGCTAAAAATGCCTTAAGCAGTGCCCCCGAAGTACACATTGCGTTTTCACGAGCTGACACGAACGCCCTGCTTCGCTGCGTGATGCGCAGCTACACACTTCAGCACTGGACCAAACCGGAACGGCGACACCAGTGACTTCACAAATGGGACCCGGAAATGAGGTTCCGCATGCCTCCTAATTTGAAACGGCAACTCACAAGTATGATCCACCGCATTCGTCTTGGTGTAGCGTACACGAGACGTTACGCACATATCATCGGTCGCAGTGACACCGGTCCTAATTGTGAACACTGTGATGTGCCAGAAACACTTGAGCACATATTTTGTGTCTGCCCAGCATACGCACGTGAACGACAAACACTGATTTCTTCTACTGAACAATATCGCAGTAGGTCATTAACTGATGAGACCATGTTGGGCCCTTGGCTAGACACCAACAGTGCAACTGCGGTCACAAGAGCAGTTATTACCTTTTTAGAAACAACTGGACTATGTGCGCGGCTATAAAATGTGTCTCAGCTAGAAAGAACACTACATACTCACCTCTCTATCTCACCATTGTCATCCACTAATCTTTCTTTTCCCCTTTTCCCTTCCCCCAGTGTAGAGTAGCAGGCTAGAACAAACTATCGCTCAGGCCGACCTCTCTGCCTTTCTGTAAATAAACATACTTCTTCCTTCCTTCAAGCACGCTCTTAGCACTCGCAATGAAATTACTAAATGCTTTTACTTGGAGAGAAGAGTCTTCCCGCCGCCTCATTCCAGGCTAAACAGGCCGCAGGCAGTCACGCTCAGGCTCCTGCAAACAAACTCATACCCAAATCCGGTGACCCTCAATAGCATATATCCGGAAATTTACCCCAATAGCTCTTGCTCAGTCTGTGTCGAGGCTGCTACTTTACGTCATATGCTTTGGGAGTGCGGGTCGTTAAGCCCTAGGTTCACCATGGAAGAGTGGGATGCGCTGCTGCGAAGTCCCGCCCATGAAGACCATATCCTGGTCGTTCAGTGTGCCCGTTTCACGGCCCGCCGGTTTCATGGCCCGCCCCCCGTATAGAATCACCCCCCCCCCCCCCCCCGAAAAAAAGAAATCAAGGAAAAAGCAAGAACGAAACTGCCGAGAAGCTGCAGGGCATAACATTTTCTACGTAAATTGCATTTACGCAGAGGAATAAACCAAACTGTGCTAACAACTTAAATGAAACGTTTTGTCATTGAATCACAGCGAATGTGGCAAGGAGTTGTTCAGAAGGACACGTATAAATTATTCAATGAACTGTTTTCCTTTTTTTTTCGGGCGTATTCTTTTCGCTCCGTAGAAGAGAAGAAAGAAGACCGACACTTGCGCTGAGGAGGCGGCGGCGACGCACGGTCGCTGGAGTAAACACCATGGTCCGCTCATAAGATTAGGTCAGTAAAGCACGGCGAGGGACGTCTTTGCTCCGCTCAAAATTGGCGCCATGTCGTCGCACTACCTGCAGTTTCAGAAGGTGGCCATCGACCGGGTCGAGCGGGTCAAGGCCAAGCTGGGCCTGAAGGAACGAAAGCACCACTCTTCGCAAGCGTCCGCCACCTCCGCGCACCATGACAGGTCTCAGCTACTGGCCACACTCAAGACGGGCAAGTCCACACCCACGAACACCATCGAGCGGCTGCACGCCAAGGACCTGCCGCTCGACACGTTCCTACGCAAGAACGAGAAGCTGTCCCGGCCCGTGGTCATCCAGGGCCTGCTGAAAGAGTGGAAGGCGCTGGAGCGCTGGTCCCTCTACAACCTCGTCTCCAAGTACAGCGACGATGAGTTCGTCGTGGGCCGCGACCAGAACGGGAACGTCGTCACGGTGAAGATGAAGTACTTCGCCTACTACCTCAAGGAGTATCGGGACCCGTCGCCTTTCCAGATCGCCGACGACCTGTCATCGGGCGGTAAGAAGAGGCTTCGCGATGACTACGAGGTGCCGTCGTACTTCAAAGACGACATCTTCAAGTACGCGAAAGAGTCTGACCTACCACCGACGCGCACCTTCAGCCTAGGACCCGCCCTGGCCGGGGAAAGAATCCAGACGAACCCGCTGCACTGCAACCTGTGGAGCGCCCTGGTGCAGGGCACTCGACGCTGGTGTCTGTTCCCGCATCACGTGCCGCAAGACCTGCTCTGCAACGATAACAGGACAGCCCGCAAGGACCGCAGGCTCGAAACCGCTGTCGCGTGGTTCGAGCGCATCTACCCGAAGACGCAGTCATCTCGCTGGCCGCGCTACTTCAAGCCATTGGAAATTCTGCAGGCCGCTGGGGAGGTTGTTTTCGTGCCTGCTGGTTGGTGGTGAGTTTGTCGTTTTCCCTGAGCTGTAACGAGAGCCTACGCTCACAACTGTTTTGTAGAATTCACTTATGGAGTAGCATAGTGCTGCTTATACCCTCAGTGAATTAACACTAACCATGCTTGTAACAGTTGATTGACCTGTATATAACATGTAACAAAACAAAAGCGATACATACATACATACATACATACTTGCATACATACATACATACATACATACATACATACATACATACATACATACATACATACATACATACATACATACATACATACATACATACATACATACATACATACATACATACATACATACATACATACATACATACATACATACATACATACATACATACATACATACATACATACATACATACATACATACATACATACATACATACACGACATCAGGAAAATGGGCAGAGCATGTAGCAAGAAGGGACAGACTGGATTCCAAGGGAAGGCAAGCGCGCGAAGCAGAAATTTATTTGACCAGATGAGATAAAGCAGTCTGTGAGGATACCGCAGCATGTCCAGGACTGGGTGCAAGATGGGAGAGGCATTCGCTCTCCCATCTGATGACGACGACGTGCAAGCCAACCATGTCGGTTGAGGGCCCGCCTTTGAGCAAATGGAGACCGCAATCACAGATCTTCTCGTCTTCGCCGCACGTCTCCTTGTGCATTCCTACGCGGTCGTCAATCACGTTGAAGCAGGGCAACAACCTCTTTGTCGTTTCAGGTACGTGGTGATCAACCTGGAGGTGTGTGTGGTGATGTCCCATCACCACTGCAGCGCGAGCAAGCTGACGAAAGCGTGGCCCAAGTTGACGCGCGGCAACAAGAAGCTAGAGCGGGCATGGTTCGAGGCTCTGCGTCGTCGACGTCCAGAACTCGCCGTGCTGGTGCCACAGAAGCAGAAGCGGCGCTCGCGGGACAGCTACTCGGACACAAAGACTGGCGACAGCAGCGCCACCTCATGCTCCAGCGACGTCGACAAGGACGGCTCCGACGAAGCGGATTCGGACAACTCCTGAGAACCTGAGATCGGGACCTTCGCGAAACAAAAATTCACGTTGACACGTCCGCGAATCGCACGACCGTCCCAGTCGCTGCAGCCGCTCCTCACGCTGCCACGTCAACATTAAAATTCTTGGAATGGTGATTTTGTTCAAACGTGTGAATACTATAGTTGGTGATGTAGTCAAAAGGTTAGTTTGCTCCCAGTTCTCCTCAGGCGTGCACTCGTGTTCGTAACTCGTAGGGCACGTATATAGTACAGCATGATTTCCTAACAAACAAAAATTCTGGTAGGTCCCATGGATTGTGAGAAGAGATTTTATTCGAAGCACTATAACGAGTAGCGGCTCTTGCCACATCTTGTTATTGATCCAATTATGTCTTACGAGGTCGATCGATGTCTTTGCATCTCATGGGCAGGAACGCTTGCAATACCGTTGAGGATAACGATTACGATGCTACTTGTATTGGAGCGTTAAGCGTTAAGCGTAGCTATCGGGCGCAACGCCTCTTTTAACGAAATAGGATGTATACACACATGTAGCTGCAGAGACGAACGACGTTTGAATACCATATATTGTAGAGTCGTAGCAGTAAAGCTAACAGCGAGGCTGCTTAGCAAATCGTTCCTTCTTCACCCTTGCCGTAACAAGACCTGTCATTACCATAAACGGTTATGCGTCACAAATGTACATGATTAATCTTGCTACTCGCCACTGATCGACCAAACATGAAGATAGCAGTAAGCCCAACAAACGGGTGCCGCAGGATTAGTGCGGCCTATCAGGAAGATACATCATCATCACAAACAGGTATGGGCCACCAAAATAGGATAAATCTGACTGCACAATTTCCACTAAAACAGAAGAAGGCCACAGTTGGCCGGACATGTGACTGTATTCTTGGCCAGTCCCTCTGAGTGGTTATGAGCCATTAGTAGTGACATCATCACCATCATACGACTGCGAAGTGACGGCGGCGAGCTTATAGAACCTCCAGTACGGACAACGTTCGACTGAATACTGGGAAATGGGAAAGGCGGCTTCGAAAAGACCCTGAAGAGATGGAAGGCCGTGTCGCGTCTGTGACTGCACGTCTGTGGTTTAACGCAAACCTCTTTCCGCTGGGAATCAACGTGGAAACATCCCATAGCTGAAGCCTAGCAACGACCTAGAAGAAAAGTTGAAACAAGGTGAATCAAGCAGCTAAGGTCCAGAAGTACTTAGATGAGTGTTCAAAATCGACGTTATGCGATACATGCGAAGAGAAAGCAACCGTGTTGCAATATATATATTTTTTTGAGCGACACGTTATGAAACTGCGCTGGATGTATTTAAAAATGTTGCGCGCGCAGGCATATGTTGAACAGTTGCAGATACTAATATAACCAGTTGTTTGCACTTGCGAAATGACGCCAACATGAACTTGAGTATTAGCAACGACAGAAGCGATAAGCTGATATGAACCGCTGGTGCTCGCGAGGATGGTAGCTCTGGATGCTGCTGCATAAATCGACCTCAGTGGCTGGCACCTAAATACAGTGAATGTCAAACCGACCAAATTTTTGTATATCATAGGAGTATACATATATGTAATGTTTATAAAATTAGATAGCTAGCACTGGAACCACAATTGACGTTTAACAAACATTACAGGGTGTATTTGAAAAGTGCTCCGGAGACCTGGCGTAGCTCTGTGGTAGAATACTTAACTGCATGCCGCGTAGAATGTTGAGGTTTTCGATTCCTGCTGGGACCCTGACATTTATTCTTTGCATTCGTTGGGTCGACGCTACCGATGACAGCTTTTTTTTTCAACGTTTACGCGTTAAAATTATCCATGTATATTCTCACCGTTCATGTAGAGGTACAAGACTCAATCACCTGTGGCACATACTAGTGGCACATGTGCCACTGTCTAACGGAAAATGTTTGACGACGATGTACACGGCATAACTGTGAAATTTATCATTTCTTGACCACCACGTCATATTCGTCAAAGCACTCTACCTTCCCATATCAATTTTGGTTCACGCCAATTTAAGGGGTTGATCACTAGAGCACTCAGACGTAGGTGGCTAAGTAGATAGATAGATAGATAGATAGATAAATAGATAGATAGATAGATAGATAGATAGATAGATAGATAGATAGATAGATAGATAGATAGATAGATAGATAGATAGATAGATAGATAGATAGATAGATAGATAGATAGATAGATAGATAGATAGATAGATAGATAGATAGATAGATAGACGCCAAAAGTGCTTGCAGTACAGAAAAAATGCTTCACATTTAATAAAATGGAGTGAATAGTTAACACCTCGGGAAATGTCACGCACGCATGCATTCATGCACGCATGCGTACTAGAGTAGTCGCTTCGTTAGATGGAACAACCGGACACTTCACCTGCACTTTCCTTATCCCCCAATTCGGAAACGCTCTAAACTTGGCTTGCGACAGCGTAAAGCAGCGCATTGGAAACGCGCTTTTGCTGGATTGAAGGCGGTGGCAAGTCAAGCTCAAGTCGAGGAGCGTTTATGATTTACGGAGGTTACTCAGACTAAACGTGCATGCCATCGTCGAAGGAAAGCCTTGTCGCCGAGCGCTTCCAGCTGCTCATCCAGCTACTTCCGCACAATGAGGCGTATTTCCTGGAGTGTGGGATAGACGCCTTTTGGGAAGCTTGCCGCGTGCTTCCGCTAAACAACGTCACCGCCATAGTACGCCCAAGGTCACGTAAAGACCAGCCGGGCGAACAGCCTCAGTTTTGTGTGTAGATAAAAAGAATGACATGAGCGATTGATAGTGAGTTCTACTCCACTAGAGGATAGTTGAATGTTGCTGTCCTGAGGTAGTGGGATTAGAACAAATGGGCAACGATTTGCGTTCAGAAAAAAAGTGTGAAACGATCTAGAGTATATTCGTACTCTACTACGGGAGAACATTAAGCCGTCCTAGACCAATGAGGCAGGAAAGGTCGAACGAATTATGTTTAGAGAAATTTATTCTCACATACAGTGGACATAAATAGCAATTCAACAGAACACCTCCACAAAACATGCACAGATACATTGATATTTGTTACAAAAATATATGTGCACATTTGTAAGTAGAAAAGCGCTCTCTCATGGTAGAGTACATGGTACTCTACCATGAGAGAGCGTAAAGCCGTCCCAACATGCGCAGCTGAAGCTAAGCACTTCGTAACATTCCTCAATCAATAAGAAACCTCACATTTCTTAATCAAGAAGACACCTAATAAGACACTAAAAAAACAGAAGAAAAAGAGAAGCTTTACTGTACACTTAACTTGTACATACACAAGCGAAACATCGAAAACAAGTAAAGACAGTGTATACAGTTACAAATGAGCACCAAAACGTGTGTTTAGAAAAAGTTGTTAACGAATTTGAGTATACTTTTTTTTTTTTTACTGGCGCCAGTATACCCTATACGGCATCAGTTAAATAAAAAGGAAAAAAACGGCAGCATATCCACGGAGTGAATGATGGAGAGTGGGGCGAAGCATTCGTCCGTTCATTCATTCTTTGCTTCCGTCCATCCATGCGTCCGTCTATGTGACCGTCCATGCGTCCATCCACCCGTCCGTGCGTGCGTCTGTTCGTCCGTCTGTCCCTGCGTTCGTCCATGCATCCGCCCCTGCTTCCGTTCATGCGTCCATCCATGCATTTGTCTGTGTGTCCGTTCGTCCATCTATTCAACACTCCAAGTACCACCATCTCACATCTTTTCATATATTCCCCATATATAAGCACCACCATCCAGCGGACATTTCAAGTATTATAAACGAGAGGTGGCACACGCACACTTTTTCACGGCTCGCGCATCCGGTCTACTTCCCACCTTTAACCACCTCGAGTTCATGGTATATACTAGTTCACTGTATTCATGGCACTGCGGCCCAACGCTCGCTAAACCTTTCGAAAACCAAGGAGGTTACGCCCAGCGAGTATGACGTAGCAAACTTTTTCAGTCAGATAGTGCTCAATGTACATGCCAACGGCTACTAATTGGAAATGAGAGGCGGATAATTCGGCTTTTACTTTCTTACGGCTAGCGCTTCGTATCTACTTCCCATTTTTAACCACCTCGAGTTCATTCATGGTATATACAAGTTCATTGTATTCATGGCACTGCGGCTCAACGCTCGCTATACCTTTCTAAAACTAAGGAGGTTACACCCAGTGAGTATAACGTAGCAACCCTTTATTGTCAGATAGTGCTCAATGTACATGTCAATGGCTGCTAATGGGGATCGCACCGTGCGTGTTAACTAAAAGCCGAATGCTCCTGTCTCTCATTCCCCCTTAGCAGCTATTGGCATGTAATTGAGTACTATTTTTTATTGTTCAACAACGCACAGAATAAATCTCTCACCGGCACCACCTTGGAGGTCGAAATGTTATACTTGTTACACACTACAACGGCTACGAGGGACGAACGGGTGTCGTTATAAGAAGCTTCGCCCCTAAATGTTCTGTTTGGTGTATGGAGGCCAGGAGTGGTCGATACAGTGGACCTTGCGTCCAACGCGTCATTGGTATTCTACTACGGGAGAGCCCAAAGCCACCCCGTGGCCTCACATTTCATGAGGCAATGGAAAATGGCAGCCGCCTGAAAGACTGACAAGTAGTACAATACGGTAACAGTCGGTCCTGAATGAAATGCGTCGTTTGACTCTATAATGCAATGCCTCAAACGTAGAACAGCTTTGCGAATGTGCACACGAATCCTTTTCCCCGCTATATTAATAACCATATCTTTCCCACTCCCCAGCTGTTGATATTTTGTGCCTGCACGGGTTACTGTTTATTAAGCTGATCTCTGATTTTGCTGTATGATATTCAAGATTGTTTATTGAGTTGTTGTTCATGTTGCGCCCATGCCTGTTAATTTTCTTTTCACGTACTGGTCTGACACAATCAATCAATCGATCAATCAATCAATCCACTGGCACTACAGTGTTCTGTGCTGGTGTGTCATTTACTTT